ATCAGTTGCACTATTTTTACGCACATTCACATTCAGCCCATTCTCTCATCATCACCACCACCACCACCACCACCAGATCACCAAACATTACCACCGTTAAGTTGGCTACAACGGCGGCAGCAGCAGCAGCAGCAGCTAAATCCGCAACAAATCAACAAGAGCGCCAATGTAAACAGTCGAAAGACTGAAGAAGCTGCTGCTCACTAAGAAACAGTTGAAGGCCGCCGAACAACCCGACCGAGCATTAGTCTCGATATTTCCCTCCCCTCCCCCTCATCAGTTCAAATTCACCCGAAACCTCTTTCTCTCCTTCTCCGTCACAGCAGAAGTATCGATTAGTTTGCACCCATTAGCTGGCGGCAGCAGCAGCAGTGAAAGCCGACATTGCCCATTAGCTGCTTTCTGTTTCTGTCTGTTTTTGTCTCTGTGTACATCACCACCACCACCACCACCACCACCCTGAACATTGCTCAGCACCAGACAGCAACAGCAGCAGCAGCAACAGCGCTCCCCAATCCTCGCCTTTATATGTCGACACGAGCCGCCACTGGTCCTTCTGCCACTTCTGCTCCAGCTGAAGAGAAGGCGCAGCTCCTGCGAAGATCAACCAGCAGAGGAGGCAGCAGCAGCCATCACTCTTCGCCGACGAGAACAACTGACTCTGATCAACAGCATCAACTGTCATCAACGAACACTACCACCAACAAAGAATCACCTCCTTCCAAATCGCCAAAGATGGCTCACGTGTACCACCAAAAGGAACAAGGAGGAGGCGGCGGCCATCACCCCNCACCACCAACAAAGAATCACCTCCCCACAAATCGCCAAAAATGGCTCACGTGTACCACCAAAAGGAACAAGGAGGCGGCGGCGGTCATCACCCCTACCAGGACTCAGACAACGAGGGCCACGGAGGAGGTGGAAATCAAGGAGGCGGGGGCGGGGGCGAATCGACCCGCTTCGGGCCCATCACCGAGACCATCCTCACCACGCTCTCCCAGGACAACCTCTTCCTCATCTGCCTGCTCTTCGTCGAGCTGCTGGGCGTCATCCTCGTCATCCTCGCCACCTGCTGGATGCTGCAGATCGGGGGGCTCGGTTTTGCCGACAAGCTCATCTTCAACTTCCACCCCATCCTCATGACGCTGGGCATGATCTTCCTCAATGCCAATGGTAAGCAGTGGAAGGTCACCACCAAAAATGAACCCCAAAAATGAACCCAAAAATGAACTCCAAAAATAACCCCATCTTTTCCCCCTCTCCCCAGGCATCCTCATCTACCGCTCCACGCGCACCCTGGGCTACCAGGCCCAAAAACGTCTTCACTTTGCCCTGCAAACGGCGATGATCAGCACCAGCTGGCTGGGCTTCCTCGCCGCCTACCTCTCCCACGCCTGGCTCTCCATCCCCCACTTCTACTCCCTCCACAGCTGGCTGGGGCTGGCCGCCCTCACCGGAGTGACCATCAGCCTGGTCAGCTCCTACCTCACCTTCCTCTACCCGAAGGCGAATCCCATCTACCGCCGCCTGTCGCTGCCCTTTCACGTCTTCGGCGGCATTGCCAATATAGCCCTCTCCGCGGGCATCGCCGTCGCCGGCATCACCGAGAAGGCCATCTTTAGCCTGTGAGTTTGGGACAGTTTTTTTAAACAAAAAAGTTCTAATTCCTCTTTTTTTGCAACAGAAACAAAGCCGACGCCAAGCCCGAGGAGACGTACGCCTACCTGCCCTCAGTGGCCATCCTCCTCAACGTCTTCGGCGTCATTCTGGTCATCTTCACCATTCTGGTGGTGTGGATGGTCACCAAGCCGGAGTTCAAGCGCAAGTACAAGATGACCGTCAACACGCCCCACTACGTCCTCCGCCGGGAGAAGACGCTCGACTAAGAGGACATCTGTTCTTAAAGGCAGCTATCACTACCTTCAGTGCCAAACCAAGGTCCATGCCACCACGCCCAATTCCAAAAGGCCAACTCCTTCTTCTCTTCTCTTTGTTAACTCATCCTTTACTAAACCTGTAACTTAACCTTTTGACTAACTACTTCTCCCCCCCCATCGTCAGACGAAAGCATTTAATAAACTTAAAGCCCAAAAGATGGCTGAAATTCAGCAGCAGAAAAAGCAGTGTTCTCTNGGGGGGCGGGGCGGACGTCTGTGCTTAAAGGCAGCTATCACTACCTTCAGTGCCAAACCAACCAAGGTCCATGCCACCACGCCCAATTCCAAAAGGCCAACTCCTTCTCCTTCTTCTCCTCTTTGTTAACTCATCTTTTACACAACTTGTAACTTAACCTATTGACTAACTACTTCTTCCCCCCCCCCCCCCCNAAAGCATTTAATAAACTTAAAGCCCAAAAGGTGGCTAAAAATCAGCAGCAGAAAAAGCAGTGTTCTCTTTCTCCCACAAAAGATGGCGACTGCTTCTGAGAAAAAAAGTTTTAAGAAACAACAGTTTCTTGTCAATGTGTTTCGACACTGTCAAGCAAAAAAGGCAATTCTAGAAAAACAAGTCAACTCTGGTCAAAGAACCCTCAAAAAGTACCCCTCGACAATGAAAATCAAACCACTGGCTAAATTGTCCTCAAGTGACCCACACACTTACACCTACGTTTATTTAATTAGATAAAGAGTTGGAGGTCCACTTTAAAGTGCCCACCATTAACAGCTACAGTCAGTGATNACTAAATTGTCCTCAAGTGACCCACACACTTACACCTACGTTTAATTAGATAAAGAGTTAGAGGTCCACTTTAAAGTGCCCACCATTAACAGCTACAGTCAGTGATGACCATCACATCATTGGCCATATCGATTAATTTAATTGGAGAAGCACACTCGATGCGTCGCAATAAGTGCTCACTTCNGCTAAATTGTCCTCAAGTGACCCACACACTTACACCTACGTTTATTTAATTAGATAAAGAGTTGGAGGTCCACTTTAAAGTGCCCACCATTAACAGCTACAGTCAGTGATGACCATCACATCATTGGCCATATCGATTAATTTAATTGGAGAAGCACACTCGATGCGTCGCAATAAGTGCTCACTTCTATTTCCTATTGCAAGGACCACTGCTCGCGGAAGGAAGAGAACAGAGGGAGAGAGAGATCGTTTTACCAAATTAGGCAATGGCAAAGGGTGACGGCAGCAACAACTGCAAGTTGCAGTGTCATAAAGAAGCGGTGGAAAACCGACAGTCACAGTCTCTGGGAGTCTCGCACGTGCCTCTCTGCCCATTGTTATGATTGACAGAAGATACAGACAGACACTGCCACTGCCACTGCTGGTGCTCTATTGTGCCGGAGAAGAAGAACGCATCATCGAAAAGAGAAAGGGGGGGNAAGAGAACAGAGGGAGAGAGAGATCGTTTTACCAAATTAGGCAATGGCAAAGGGTGACGGCAGCAACAACTGCAAGTTGCAGTGTCATAAAGAAGCGGTGGAAAACCGACAGTCACAGTCTCTGGGAGTCTCGCACGTGCCTCTCTGCCCATTGTTATGATTGACAGAAGATACAGACAGACACTGCCACTGCCACTGCTGGTGCTCTATTGTGCCGGAGAAGAAGAACGCATCATCGAAAAGAGAAAGGGGGGGGGAGCCAAACGAGATCCAAACGATGTACTCAGAGAGTGTGCCGCAAGAACAGTACAATACAATTTAAGAAAGAAAGAGTGGTTCCAGTGAACAGCACAACCCCATCACAGTAGCTGATAAACACCGCAGTGATCATCTGATCAGCAGCAGCGCCTGCCTTTGAAGCAATTATTGAAAAGCGAAAAAAGGAGAAATGGAAACAACAACAAAAACTGGACGTAAAAAACATTGCAAACAACAAAGGGGGAGGAATGGGAGTTGGAAAGTGGAAAACGGTGACAAACGAGCTGAAGCGAAAAAGCTGAAACAGTGCGACAGCGCTAATGAGCCATGGCAGAGCCATTGATTCATCACCAGCAGCACCACCGGCACCATCACCTCCATCATCCCCTCCCATCCCAGCACACACTGTACGCTCTCCTCCTTTGTTGCCATG